TGCGGGGCTCTTTCAGGTTACTAAACCTTTGGTTAAGTACCTTTGGCTCTAGCTTAGCAGTCACATGAGAGGTGCAGTTTTGATTTCAATTGCAGAACTTCTGTTTCTTTATTGGATCTTGTCTACTGCCCAGTGGAGAAGGGTAATACACAGGATATAGCTGAGGGAGAATGAGGCTGGCGTGTTCCAATACTGTGAGCACGCCCCTACCATCTTAGTTTCTGCTAATCCACCGATAATGGCCTTCATCGCCTCCAAAAAATACCGGAGAGTCAGTCACAAGGCAGGGTGATAGGGTGCACATGTGCATAAAACTGTTTTACAGGTCACCAGTGCCGCCTATCCTAAAAGGCTTTGCGAACACTGAGTTATCAGTTGATGTTTTAGTCTGCAGACCTTCCTCTGGACGCAGATGAAACAATCTTGAGGAAGCTGGAGTGGGAAGGGCCACACCAAAGCATCTCTCCTCTGCTTTTGTGTCAGGCGCGTCCTTGTGTGCGCGACTCTGGCTGTTGACCTAAGGAACTCAGTGATCTATGATGCGGCACTCAGCAGCTGGGGTCTAAAAGGTGGAAGGCTCTCTGTACCATTCGGTCAGCTCCTCACACACAGGCTGCAGTGTCAACACACGATACAAGAAGACAGAGAATGTCACACTTCACACATAGTTGAAAGGAGCAGTGCGTCTCATTATGCCACCTAGAGCTGCTTTTGTCAGCTGGGGTTTGATGTGTGGAGAGGAAGGGCTGAAGGAGTCACCATGGCCTGGTATGGGGCCCGCTGCTGCCACGTTTGAAGTCACTGTCAGGACAAGGTCTTTCATATTTACAGAAAAGAGGAAAACTCAAGGGATAGCTGTGATTGGCAAACTGTATTGTAAGAGATGTTAGAAATGGCTTGAGCTAATCACCGTTTGCACCCGGCTCATTCATCAAACCCCTTGCAGCCCCAGGAGTTTTAAAAACACTGCTTTGCAGGCACTTTTTTTTGGCTCCTCAAACATGAAACTTCCTTTAATCTATTCTTACTCAAAAAGCCATTCAAACATCTTACATAAATTATGCTCTTAGCATTAGAATCAAAGGCTAGCACCATCTCTCCTCATGCTGTCAGTGAACTTTTTGATGGACAGATATATTAAGGCTTGTTCTATGGATAGCATATGTATTATAAATTTGAAGGCGACTGAGAAACTTGACCACATCAGTCAGTTTTGGTGAGAATGAGCTATTTGACGATAATCTCAGTTTTCCATCATATATTCCTTGTAAGAATAATACAGTGAAGACATTATGTGACAAAAATAGACAATATCTACTGCTCAGTGTGTTAAACTTACCTTTACCTTAACATAAGACTGTGTCTGTCTGATACAGTTGCAGTCTGTTAATTGTCTTCTACATGTGTATTTCCTCCTTGATGCTCAGGATTTTGTAACTACTAGGGGGAAATGGATGATAAACACATATATAACACTAAAGGAATATGAAACAAGACCATTGTTTTTTAAATTTATAACTACTTAAATTATTTCTGTGTTTCTAAATCATCATGTAGCATTCCCACAAGAATAATGTTAATTAGTAAAACATCCATATAATCAGTTTCTTTCATTCCAACTTCACCACCATGGGCAGGACCAAAGAGCTGTCAAAGAACATCAAGATAAAGATTGTAGACCTGCACAATGCTAGAACAGGCTCCAAGACATCAACAAGAAGCTTGGTGAGAAGGTGACAACTGATCGTGCAATTGTAGAAGAAATATAAAAGGATAATCAACTGCTCTCAGTCAGGTGGTGGCCCCAATTTCTCCTTTCCCTTATAGGCCCGTCTTCATTTTACCAGTGAACATCTAAATGAGAATGTGAAGTGGTCAGATAAAACTAAATGTTTTGGTATCAACTTGACCCGTTTGTTTAGAGGAAGAGAAAAGCTTAGTTTGCCCTGAGATCACCAACCCAACAGTCAAACACAGGAGAGAAAACATTATGCTTTGGGGCTGTGTTTCTGCTAACGGTACAGGACAACTTGACTATATTAAGGGTCCAGTGGACGGGGCCATGTACTGTAAAATCTTGGATGAGAACCTTCTTCTCTCAGCCAGAACGCTGAAGAGATGTCGTGGATTGGTCTTACAGAACAACAATGATCCTAAACCTATCTGCAAGGCAACGAAAGAAAAGATAAAGAAGAAGCACATTAAGGTCATGGAGTGGCCTCTGGACCTTATTCCTATAGAAAATCTGTGGTGGGAGCTGAATCTTCGAGTCGCCCAGTGGAAGCCAAGAAACCTGAAGGATTTAGAGAGTTTCTGTAAAGAGGAATGGCCCAAAATCTCTGTTGAGATGCAAACCTGGTGAACAACTACAAGAAACATCTTCCTGCTGTACAACTACAGTACTAAGAAATAAGTCACGTTTGCTCGGGAATCAAATACTTATTTCACTCATTGAAACGGAAAACAGTTTTTAACTTTTATGAAATTTGTTTTTGGGTTTTTGTTGGTTGATATTCTGTCTCTCTCCATTAAAATTAAACTATCCCCCCCCTTTGAGAACAACAACTACAGTAGTGCTATCCTCTGATTCAACTCTTAGAAAGAAAATGGTTAAGTCTATTTTCAAAGATGTCATAACAGCTTCATACTGACACAGATGAAGTAAGCCAACCACTGGCTGAATCACATCTTAGCCGACTGTTGTTGTGATATAAGTAAAACTGAATCAGATTATGGTTACAGGTTACAATGTTACTAACCGAAAAGTCCACATAAATGCTATATCATTTAGGTGAATCTTGGTTTATTCCAGCTGTCTTATATTGACTATTGGACACTGGTAAAGTATAGTGGATTTGAATTAAGGTTAACAGCAGTAAACACTTGTTGCTGGAGTTTCCTTTGTAGTTTTGCACAATACTGACATTTTGTGAGGACACAGGGACATTGAAAGCTTTGATGACGAAGCTGGGGCTGTTACTGTCCCCTGCAAATTATATTTTTCTTATTATTTAGGCTTCATCTTGCACATAAATGTCAAGATTAATGGCCTAAATCTTCTTCCTCTTCCTTCCTTCCTTTATAGCCCAAGTTAATTCACTCTGTGAAGTTTGTGTGTTGTGTGTTTAACATTTAACAGGAAGAGCGCCCATATACAGTATTTAATACTCTTTGTACTTCACATAAAAAGTTTGATCTTCTCTTCTTCCTCTGCATTGCAAATGAGAGGAAAAAGACTTAGTGGTGCTGAATGGTAACCTCAAACTACCACAGAAGGTCATGGTCAGTGCCTCTCTTTGAAATATCACAAGGCTTCTTTCATAAACAAAACGTGTCTGGGTGTATATGGGAGGGGTTATTGAGCTAGTAAATAGACTCTGCTCTTATCTTTGTTCAAATAGTGCGGAAAGGGAAAGACAGTGAGCACACAAAAGGGAGAAATGAGAGTGGAAACAAAGCCAGGTACAAGATAATGACAAGGTCAAGTGTGCACTCAATGGCTTAGTTCAGTCAGAGAGAGATAAGGCCCAGCCCGCTGACAAGGTGTGTGCAGGAGAGAGGAAGGGGAGGTCAGGTAAAGGTCTCGGGATGTGTCTTACAGTCTAAAACTTCGCCTGAGCTTCTTTCAGTAGGATTGCCAGCTCTGCAGCACCACCTGCTGGAGAAATGGGCACACACAGCTGACAAGTGAAGGATTTTAGTGACTACAGTTCCAGCTAAGATGACTTACATTTACCTAAAGAAATGTATCAGTACCAGACACAGGTATATAATTCTTTATGTCAATAGAAAAGAAAAAAGGTGATCACTGCCTGTTATATATTATGATTTGTCTGATTCCAGTTTTGTATAATGATGACACTTAAAATTTTCCAACCAAAGACAATGTGGGCTTTGAAGGGCACGCAGCCAACACATCATCAGCTATTTTCCTGGAGCAGCTCCAACAATAACCAACAGTTGGACTGGAAGAATTCTTGTTTCGCTTTGATGTTTAAGTTTCCCCTGTTTCTGAGCGGTGCATCACAGACTGAGTGAAATTTAAAAAGGCACAGAGCTCCCCATCTGAAACTGAGCATGACATTAAGCATGATTTCAAATGACAACAAATAAAGTGTGAAAGGGCTACATGCTCGCAACTTCCTTTCACAGAGCATAAAGGATAGGATTAGTTGAAGGCTATCTCTGATGTGTCACTCATCTCCAGGAGAGAGGAGAACACAAGATAAAACATCTTTTGGTGGACGAGGAAAGCCAGAGAGGAGAAAGAGAGATGCTTCAGTAGATATATGATACAACTGATCCCGAATTCTGATCTCATGCCTGGATAAAGGGATAAAAAGCGGGCAGGTTGGGGGGAGTCACACAAAAAGAGAGACCTTGGACAGATACTCAGAGGTGGGCTGGGTCAGTGGGACATCAGGCAGCACTTTGACCATACTGCGCCTTGAAGTTGTGAGGGGCGTAGGGTCTGTTAAGTCTCATCCAACACACCCAGGCTTAGGGTGTGCACTGAGAGGAGGCACAAGAGAGAGGGATTGAAGTGAACTACAGGGAGCAGCCTGGCTATGCTGTTTTGACTGATAAAGAGGAGAGTCAGCGGCTCTTCGCTCTCCTTCGTTTGCCTGTGTTTGAGACTACAGAGTAGTCTGGTGGGGAAAAAAGGAAATGATTTTGTTTTATTGATTGCATATATGAAAGCCACATGTAAATGGAAATGTAAACAAACAAGGGTAGGCCATACGGTGCTTCTTACAGGGAAAAGATGGTGGAGTGCACTTTAAGAACATATCTATATAAGCTGGCTAAAATATGACTGAAGATCATGTTTTGACAATACACAAGTGAAAAGCTTTAAAGTGAGCCGAGAGGCACTCAATAAAGGTATTAAAAACAAGAAGGAATTTGTATGAATATGTAAGAAAACTTTTAAAGAGGCTAATAGCTAAAAGCTATTGCTGGTTATCAGCAATAGCTAGCTAAAACGGTTTAACGGCAATGCTAAACTCTTTGATAAAAGCAACGGGCAATGCTTAAAAAGAAGAGGTAAAGGTAATGGATAAATGCTGGAAATAGCTAGAAAAAGACATAAAAATGTAAAAAATTGTTACCTTAATGTTGGTGAAACTGCTAAGATAGTAGTTCATGGTGTTAGCTGCTAAAGGTTAATGGAAGGGTAGCGATTTTAAACAATAAAGGTGGTTTCCATATAGAAGTAGCCTATATGAATTAAGGCACATGTCGGTTTCTTGAAAGAGTTGGGCAACAACGATTTGATGGGAAATTAGACATTTAAAATACATAAGTCTTCAAGAGAAATGTTGGTTTATGTTTAATTATTGGTTAGGACTTTCTGACATACCAAATAACTCATTAAGATAATATTGGTTTAACTCATCTGTTTTACAGTAATAGAAAAACAATTTTAATTAAGCAGATGTTGCCATCTAGTGGCGACACCATTTCTGCAACTAATGCAGGTAATGTAAATACCAGAAATATTTGTCTATAAAAGTCCAGTTCCAAAAACGACCATGAAACAGTTTAATTCCAGGAAAAGCCAGTGTTAGGTTGGAGATGGAAGCTCACACAAATGCACACAAAATCCCTGCCTGAGCCTCTACTCTGTGTGTTTAGGATTAATCGGCCATAGCAGGGGCCCTGATGGAGGGGGAGCCAAGCGTAGAGAACATGGCTGGCCCTCTCTCTATCAATCAGAGAACTCTTCTTCTACCCAAACCAAATTGACCTGCCGATGCACTGGCCACGTCCGGGCTCTATGTGGAAATAAATCACACTGAATCAGAGGTAGGTACCTGTCAGCTCCACTGAATGTACCATTTCTCCCTGTGCTCTCCCTGGATGCAAAGATGTGTCTCTCTGTGTGGCTCGCTGCCTCACAAACAGCAGACTGAACAGCTGACTGAACCGCACACGCAGACAATTATGGAAAGAGCTCGTATTTTATGTACGAATGCTGTAGCTGAGTTTTTCTTGTTTGATCAGATGTACATTTATTTTGTGGCAAATAGATTTAATCCCCTGGCATGGTCATCCATCGATGCACTCACAGCTTTAATAATCTTACACTGTGGAACAGAAGAGGTTGAGGATAAGGGTGAAGGGAATGTTTATGATCAAACTGTAATCTCCTTTCCTTGAGAATAAATGTTCTGACATTTGTCAAGCTGGCAGCGGTGCACAGCTGTCGATATGCCCTTGCGTCAGTGCTGACACACCAATTCTGAGCAAACTTATTGAGCTTGACAAATATGCAAAGCGGGAGTCTAATTTTAATTAGAAATACCGATAACAGCACGGACCCGATGGTGTTACACGGCTCTCCTCATCCTTCAGCTGCCCCATTATCCCCCAGTTGTAAAGTCTCTTCCAGTGGCTCTTAGCTCCAGGAAATGTAGCATCATGAGCAATGGTGTGAGGGAGATAATATGAGGAAGGGCTGGCACTAAATCTTAGTTCCGCTCATCTCCTCATCCTCTGGTTCACCTAGGCAGCTGGCAGACAGATGACTCAGTGCGTGGTCCGGGCTGCATCTCTGTTCCCGGGTCATCCATTGCTCCCGGAGTGATAAGTGGCTCTGTCCTGGTGCTGCTCGTCTGGTGCATACACAGTCAATCACTGAGTGGAGCCACAGTACAACGGCCGCCCATGGAGGACAGCAGAGCAATAACAAAACTCAAGGTGACATCTGTATCACCTGAAGTGATGAAAGAAATTCCGACTCTAGGTCCAAAAGGATTGCTTCCACTTTTGGCACTGTAACTGAGCATGTGTAGTTTTCTTTGGTAGCTTGTTATGTGACCTAAAGAGATTCAAATTGTGTGATTCTCAGAGAGTACACACTGTTCAGTTATGGAAAGTTGTTACCTTAAGGCAAAGTTAGGGGCTAATGATGTCTGAAGCCTACAGCAGCAGTGAATGTGGTTTGTGGCGGTCATATTTACTGACAAATTAACAGGTGAAATATGATTTCAAATTCTTTTCACATTTGAGGTGTCTTAAGTTAATTGCAGCCATTCAAGTTTTATTTGTAGATAGCTCTAGTAGATGAAGATGAAGGCCTCTGTCTGGGCACAAGAAGGAGATTTTGTGCTTCATGACTGAAATTTTAACCCGAGGCGCCCTGAGGGTTTCCCAGAGCTGAACTGTTTTATCTGTGCAAAGCACACTTACTCTCGCCTCACAGTAACTACAAGACCTTAGAACATGACTTTTCTGAACAACTGCACATCCATTATTATTTTGATCTCCTGTTGTTTGATTTATTTAGATTTTTTTTGCTATATTTCTAGTCAGCTTTAGACAGAACCAGGATATCTATTTCCCCAGTCTGAAGTCTTAAGTTAAGCTATGCTAACTCGGGGTAGCATCAGTCACTGCAAGAAAGTCAAAAAGACCATTTCTCATCTTATTTAGCTTTTTCGTCAGTGAACATGGCCCCTTTCTATATGATCAGTATTTTTATTGAACTTTGTGTGGATTCTCTCTGGGATTCCCCTTGCTAGAGACATGTGCAGCTCCTTAACACTAGAAGATGCTTTGAGTAAAAAAAGCACATATCTGCCCAATCCTCAGTGACAGGCACACACACACACACACATTCATAATAAGAGATAAAGGACTGCAGTCCAGCTTTATGTCCCTGCTGCAAGCCCACCCAGCACCAAGCAGCGAGTTGCAGCATCCAAGCACTAGATGGCAGCACAGCTGCACCGCTGCAGCTTTTCTGATTGAATATTTAGTCATTCACGCATTTCACCTGATCATTTGTATGACACAGCATGATTAAATATCCCAAAATGTCATATCTCCTCGTTCACTTCCTGTTGACATGTTGCCTGTTCTAGAACTTCTTATGTGCACACCATCGTCTCCAGGAAGAAGAAGAAAAAAAAAAATCTAATAACATGGCTGACTAACTGCTCAGACTGCATGTCATGCTGTTGTGAGTTAGCTTGAAAAGAAATATACATAAATTAAAGTTGAGCTCTGACATCCACTCGTTGGCCTTTTCCTAAACCACCCTCTGGAAATGAAAAAAGTTCTCCGACTTCTGGAAGAGAATATTCTTGCTAATCCTCTGGACCTGATCACGCTTTGCCAGGTAATTCCTAGAACCTGGCACTCTATCAGTGAAAGGAAATTGGGCTTAAGATGTGCAGCCCCTCTGGTCTTTCAGAGTGTCTTTAAGAATGTTGAAGGGAAGACTTGTAAGTTCAATATTTACAGTCTGCTGTACTTGTACTGATTTTAGACAGCTATGCCCGTTTACGTCAGTGAATTAAATCTAAACCGAAACAAATACATGTGTACGTCTCAGATCTAATTAAGGGGTATTGTTCAGAAAAGGAAAGCAAACTGCATCTGTACTTTAATCACACATCATTTCTGAGGATTTTCTTGCTTCCAGTACTCCAAGAACCCAATGAGCGTGTCTGACCATATTGTGGTTGTAAAACATACTTTCCTACTCAGAGACTCCTGCCCATCATGATTCATTCCATCATGACTGACTGTGCTCCCCAGAGCATGAGAGAGAAGCTTATCATCTGTCTCCTCCTCATTTCATGCCCTGTAGCAGGCAGCCTTCACTATGGAACCAACCCAGGATGTAGCCATCACTGACACACCTTAATTGCTACACAGGAAACTTTCAGGAGAAGCAGTGAGCGCACATCTAATCATGATATTCAAAAAAGAAAAAAAAAGTTTGGGGTGTGATATTGCCACAAAAATGTAACCTTTCCACAGCTGCAGTTTCAGGATAAGGTGAGCCGGCTGCAACCCTAAAATGTGCTGGAAGCTGAGATAACCTATCCAATATCAGCAACTAATGAGGCAGAAAGAGGAGCTGGAGCAGACAGACACTATGATTCCACCTCCATACGTTTTCATGTGCAAGATAAGCTTTGTCAGAGGTCAGATACTGTGTGGTAGTTTGACCAATTTCCAGCACTATTTCTGCCAATGGCTGTCGATTTGATGGCAGCGTGGATTGCCAGCCGTGGTGAACGAGCAGCTGCAGTGCTTTTGGCCCACAGGGGAAATCTGTTTGGGCTGGCCGGAGTTGAACAGCTGAGTACTTTTACTCGTGGTGAGAAGATTGCTCTCATGTTTTATTGAATGTTGCCTCCGGCACTTCTCATCCTTGACAATCTGATTCTCTGAAGGTCCACCTCATGACCTTAATGTTCAACCAATGGGGTGTTGCAGTTCAGTCACGTTGACCCCTCCATCAACCTCATCAGCCTCATCGGTCCTTTGGGTGGCATTTATGGGCCACTCTCCAGCTGGATTAATATCTTTGCAGCACACCTGCGTTGTACTTAATTGTCCTTGCACCTATATAACCTGTCATGTTTGCCCTTTCGTTCACTCTTACCATTACAGGCATCACTTTATCATCAAGTCTTGCTTCTCTGTTACTGTTAAAGTGCACAGCCAACAATCTCCTCATACTGAGTATGTACATGTGCTTTTGGCAAACATTAAATTTAGGTCAAGGCCCTCTCATCCTGCCAGCATCAGATAGAAGAGTCTGTCTAGTCCCCTTGTCTGACCTCTACAGCTGTCACACGAACTGTATTGTAGTGACTATTTAATCCACTATAGCTGTCATGGAGCCAGTGATGCTGCCATAAAGAACAACCTTGTTCCTTTATAATCCATTATATTATTCTTGGAAGTTTTCCTTTACATCGGAAAACACTGAAAAGGTCCTTCCAGGCATTTCTGTATTATAAATGTGTCAGTGCTGTTTGTGTTTTTGGCACAACAGGCACAGAGGAACCAAGAAGAATGTGCAAGAGGAGAGGATAAAATACCAGACCACTTGAAAATTGGCTTAATTCAGCTTGCTATAAACATAAACAATGCAACGGCAGATGTTGCTGCCCCGGTAACAATGTGGTGGCTGCATTGAAGCACATGATTCAACTGGGAGATAATGGTGCTGACCAAATGCAATCTGGTTACAACCATAAATAAGTTTTATTATGTAAGTGGTAGAAGTTAAAATCAAACAAAGAAAAAGAAAACAATGTCCCACACGTGCTTTGCTTTACATTCCTCTCTGCAGAGTTGGCAAAGTAAGGTTAAGAAATGGACCAAACCACTTTGAGGCGTATGAGGGTGAGCTCATTTTTCTAAATATAAAAATCTATTGTTTTGCATCTACAAATGCACAAGAGCATTCAGCTTAATTTTAAATTATTTAACATTCTACAGTTAAATTTACAATGACGCACCAAGGACAACAACTCTGTTCCCCCCCCCAGAAAAATCAATCAAACAAAAAATTGTATATTTAATGATGCTGGCATAAATGTCTGTGTTCAACATTAAAGTTTAACTTATTGAGTTTGTGTGCTAATATTTAGCAGCGACTCAGACATCAAAGTACTGCCACCTTTGAATTGCCCCTGTGAGACTGCTGGAGGAGAAATGACAGTAGGACAGTAGTTCAGTCTAAACAGCAACACATTCAAAAGCAAATATCAATTTCATTGTTTCACAAAATATCCAGGATTCTCCAAAGAAAACTTCCCATACAGTTAGTTTTGGAAACATGAACTGTACTAGAAAATGACCTGGCACAGTTTATGGAGCCGTGCTGCAAAAAATGACAATAAATGATAGATGAATGAGACAAAAGAGTGGATGGTGATGTATCTTTTATGAGGTAGGCAGCTTAATTAAAGGCCCGATTATTGCATCAGTGATTTTTATTTACTCAACAACCTCCTTGCTTACTCCATTACTAAACAGGAAACAAATGATCCCATTACTAAAAGACAAATAGTTTCCAACTAATGAACTTTGTAGCTGTGTGATATTTGCTTAAAATGTGTCTTCTTTTGACTTTAACAGGGAAGCAAACCTTTAGAAGTCAAGACTTTATGGTTGCTTTATGTTGTTATCGCTAAGATATCTCTCTGACTGCTAAGATGGCCTCCAGCAAAGATATCAAAGTCCCCTCATTAGCGAAGGAGCAAAGCAAATATAACAAGGAAGAAATGTTTGCATCGCAGTGAGAAGCAGCCAAACATCTGGGTTCTGTGCTATTTTAGACAGCTGTGAGATGGCACAGGAAAGTGACATCAGTTTTTTTCCCTTTTTTCTTTTTGTCTCGGTTGAGTGATCCTCGTGATCCTCTGCTTTCACAGAACCACCGCCACGAGCTTGAAAACAAAATGAAAACTGAAAAAGACGGTTTGATCGTTCAGAGTGTTTGTGCTTGAATCATTTCCGATGATTGTGACGGGATTCCTCCCTTTGGATCACTTCAGGAGGTCAGGAAACAATATGGCAGTGTAGAAATGTGCCACAGATCTCATTCATACAGTTGAGTCATTTTTTTTCCTATCAGGGATGTGAGTCTGTTTCAGTCAAACAGCAAACAGTCCTTAGCCGCTTCATACATTTCTTTTTGTTTGTTTGTTATTAGCTGAAACCTGAAAACATTGATCCAATCGTCAAGCGTGACAGCCAATTTTTATGTAAAGCGCCTGCTGTCACTGTGTTAACACTGTTTGCATATGTGCACATTGTGTGTATGAGTGCTAAAGCATGCACTGGCTGTTTGGAATATTGCAGTGCCCTGTCCTGCCTGCCTGCCTTGGTGTGCTTGATTTCTCTGTTGTGGTGGGATTACTCTGGGGATTAGCAGGATACTGGCAGCACCCATCGATGGGGCAGAGATGACAGTTCCCATCATGTAGTCTTCCCGCTTCAACCCGTTGCTACTCCCCGGACTTAAAGCGGCACAAACAGCAGATTACATGAGTACGACAGCAGGGGAAGAAGTCACACATCACACAGCGGAGATTAGGCTGAACAAACCCGTCTTCGGCTGCTTGGAGGTATTCAACCCAAACATGGAGAGCTGTCTCTCATGGCCCAGTTTGGGCTAGATTAGGAAGCTGCAGACAGCATTTTCCCTGCAAAAGACTTTGAGAAAAAACCCAACCTGCACTGATGTGTACTGTTCAAATAAAGCAGTGGTCCAAATATAAAATTGCAAATCACAAATCTATTCAAGACCATTGACTATAGGCCATTCATATTTGTGTTGCTGTCATTAAAGCTGAATAATCATTTGCATAGCCATGTTTTTCCAGCTACCTCTGGGTGACACTGCAGAGCTAAACTGTGTGCCTCTAGGACCCTGGGGGTTGACGAACAATCAGGCTTCTGGGCATATTTGAGCACATCTGAGCTTGTGTTTGCTCAGGTCTCTGCGTTGTACCTCATAACTTTTACACATTTGTCATTAATGTTTGGAGAGACGCAGCTTGTGTGGGAGTGCAGCGGAAACTATACATGCATGTCACAGCAACAAAAGCCTCCAGTCATCTCCCGTCTGTTAAGGACATGCAGATGCCATTTTTGTTGTCATTTAACAGGACAAATCCTCCGGCAAATTAAGGATTTGCCTGTGGGTTTTTATAAAAAATAAAATGCATTGTCGAATATAATGGGAACATGTGCTTTAGTGGTTGTTAGTCACTGAAAGGTTTTGAAGGTTTGCTGTATGGGATGAAAAAGTGTGGCTTTACAGAACCCACTCTGTGTGGGAGTATCCCTAACTGTAGTCACGTGACGAGATGACGTGAGTGACACAGTTTTAAGAAGACTGAAGCATAGGTGGGTGTAGTTTGACTTGTCAGATTTTCATTCCTGCTCTTATTCAAATTACACTGACATTTTAGAGAACGGCTTGTTCCTGTGTTCAGTTATAGCCACAGCCACCTGCAAAAAGCCCAAGGTCTCTGCTGAACAGCCCCCAATCTGCTTCCTGCTGAGTAGGAAAATGATCTCTTTTCTGCATCTAAAAAAAAAGAAATAAATAATGAGTTATTAAAAATCAACATGTTGCCAGTTTTCTTTGGACTAATTAAACACCTCAGCAGATTGAATAACGAGCTCTGTCTGCAAAGGTGTTGATTTATCTGATGAGAAATGTGAGAAATGTCAACACTTGTTAACTCAAAATAACTGTCAATTAGTCAAAACTTATCAACACCGCAGAGCTTGCATGAAAGCCAACTTTGAAGCTAGTTGTGGCCAAGATAACTTCAGGATAAATATGGAGATCAGTCCCAGTCCCCAGCACGAGGGAACACTGGCACAGTGTTAGTACTCAGCTCTCTCAGAGTTATAACTTCTTCTCTGGATGAAATTTCTTTACAAAGGTGTTAAAGTCTCTCAATTGCAGAGAAGCTTTAACAAGTTTCTCACAAGGCCAATATTATGAAGTGTTTACAAATCCTTTATTGAAAG